CAGCGATAGCGATAGCCCATTCTTCGGCACCCGCCATGATCTGCCTTTGTCTACTGGCTAGCATGTAGGTAAAACGGGTAGATACATAGATGTCAACCTACAATCCCCAAAGTTGGATATCTCAAGACCTCATTCGATGTGAATTAAATGTTCTGTCATAGCTGTTCCTTTTTTAGCGTGCCTATTGCAGAAGTGTATCTTTTTTCATGTGAAAAAGAAAAAACCGTGGTCGCGTTTAAAGGGACCCTCCCACCTTCAAAAAAGTTTATGAATTGGCATGAAAGTGATGTCGCTCGGTTCAGAAAGAGCGAAAACGAATATCTACCAAATTTCACCGAAAAATATTCACCGGTTTTCAAGATATTAGACTTTTACTTTTGTTTACTTTTTTGGGATCTCCGCTGTTTCTAGCGACTTTATTTTAGAAGTGCGGCGTTTGCGGCAGATGTTGCGCGCAAATAGCATATACCAACGCGTGCTACAAAACGTTTTAGTCAAACATTAAAAATCGTTAGATATTTGCGCTGACGTCACACATTCAGAGGGGTATTCCTAAGCATTAGCCCCTCTGAATCAAAATGCTGCAATTTTGAAATTCAATATTTCCGATTTAAGGCATTTCTCGATGTTGTGAGTGCCGAAACCGGTAATTGTGAGCCAGGGACCCCATTTTGGCTATCTCAACTCAAATCTAATGTTAAGGTGGGAGGGTCCCTTTAACCCGTGTCACAAATGTCATTCAACAGAGTAACCGCCGGAGATAGAAGTAAGAACGTCGATCACCAAGGTGAAGTCACCAACGAAGATCACTAACATGAATAAATCCGCAAAGATCATCACAAAAGGTCTCGGCAGACGTCACCACCGACGGTCATCAGTGTGTCTAATTGAGACGAAATCGGATATATCATGTGGGTACTATGAATATTGAATACACACCTTACACACATTACATTTCATCTATACTTGATTTAAGTACAAATATGGACATTTGACGCCACATCATGCTACGAACGCAAAAGGTTATCATACAGAAATGCTACACAATACTACACAGCTCACATTACGCGAGCGACTTCATCTTAGAAGCGCAGTCTTGCATAGACCGTCTGGAACTCTTCATCCCGGCCATTGAACTGCCGGGAGTTAAATGTGGCGATGCCCATTTCGTTGGTGCAGCCTTTGGCTTTGATGTTATATTGTTGCGACTGCCTTAGATCCACGGCGCTCGCCACAGGCGTGAGTTTCACCTGACGACTGTGTGGCAAATATGACCCCAGACTGATTTCCCAGGTCTGAGTCTGACGACCAAATTCTCCGTTCCACACATACTGGGGTACTCGAACTGTAGAGAAGAATGGCACCACGGCGTTGCACGTTTTGCCATGAAGAACTTCCACTAGAGTGTCGTTCTTTATCAGAGGGCCGCCGTCAGACAGAGAGTTGAGCATCCGGATGTCAGGCCGCCACGCCTTTTCACCGATCGGTCCGGTGTAGAGCTTTGGGAGGGTATCCTCTACCTCTACAAAGGGCCACTCCACATGCAGCCAGCCACGAATATCCCCTTTTCGGGTATCGATGTCATAAATCTGCAGGCCTACTTTCACCTCCACGGGCTTTGGATAGCGGTTGAAGTCCATCTTGACTTCTCCGAAGCGATGGTCGAAGTTTGAGACTGCTTGTGACGCCAAGCTTGCGAGTTGCGACTACCTGCCCCACAGATCAGCGACTGAGCCAGAGCACCCGGCAGGCTGCCTCGCGTTAAGGAGTTGGCAGTATCATGCAACCGTTATGTTGACTGATAAGACTGATAAGAGTGTCGAGCTAAGAGTGACATGTCGATTGCAAGATTGGTTGCTGGGGCATTCCACGATAGATCGTACCAGGCCCGTCACCCTCATCTCTCAGATTTTAACCCTCGCCCGCACATGCCATTTTCCCATCCTAGAACGCACATGGGGGGGGGGGGGGGTGGTTGCCACCCCCCCCCCCGCGCCATTTCGTTCCTGTTGGAGATAGAGCTTAGCAGTAAAGACCAAAAAGATTCTTTGGGAAGAGACGAATCCAATGATACCCAGTTTTACCTTCTCAGGTCAGTCATTGACCTTCCAGGTCAGGTCAAACTAAAAAATGTTGCTGTTTTGGGTCACCGTTGGATATCAAGTGCGCTGCTTATCAAATACCGATGACGATGCTGTTTTCTGGTGCCAAGCCAGCTAGAACCTCTTTGTCACACTATCCGACCAGAATTTTGCTGCTGAGGTCATTTCAGGTCAAGTTAGGTCAAGGTCAATCATATGTGTTTGTATGTCTGTGTGTGTCTGTGTGTATACTGATGTGTGCATCGATTGTTTTTGGGTCCATATCACATGAAATCATGATCTGAGAAGCTTTTACCAAAAATGCAGTCAAAAAACTTCACAAAAAGTAAATTCAGCTTGCCTAAAACGCAATTATCTTAGATGACCTAGGTTGACCTTGACCCTGACCTTGACCCCTGTACATCGTCGAACAACATGTTCCATGATAGGTGGGAGGTAAGACTGGCAAAAAAGGCCGAAATCAGGGTGTCAAAAGCTCACAAGGCCCATGGCAAACGCAAGATGTTGAGAATTGGCCATTTGGGTCATGACATGACCTGAAAAACAAGGTCATGTCTCCGAAACCAAAAATCACAGAAACTTGAAATTTTCAGTGGACATCAAGAAAGGATAGACGAGCAGCTATACGAAAAATCAGCCTTCTAGCTCTAAAAATGTTGAGTGCAGAGCAGAAAGACTGCCTGGGGGGGGGGGGTGGCAACCACCCCCCCCCCCCCATGTGCGGGCGAGGGTTAATGAAAATCGGTCCTAAGGGTAATCATAGGCCCCAAAGACGCCTGGCAAAATATCAGACTTCTCAGATCAAAACTTTTTGAGTTATATTGCATAACGTTTTTTTAACTTTGGTTTGTAACGGTGAGTTTGATGGCCTTTAACTTAAGAACGGGTTAAGCAACCAACAAACGGTAAACAACACTAAGCTTGCGATGAATCAAAAATTAATATTATTTTTTTTTTTTAAATTCCAAATAAAAATTTTGATTGTTGAACAAAAACCTTAATCTTTTTTCATTTGCCTCTAATGACTTTTGGGACCAAAATTTTTCACATTTTTATTTTTTTCTCAAAATAAACTTCATGTCATTGCAAATCGACATGCAAAAAAATAGAAAGGTGTTCTTTCTATAAGTTCCTCATTTTCCCGCAAACAAAATGGGTTTCGGAGGGGTTGATACGACCCCAGCACGCCGATTTGCTTCTAATAGAGCTAGAGCCTCGCGGAAAAAGCCAGCGTGTGTGCCGTTACAAGTCGCAGCGATTGGTACCCGATTTTAAGGTCTCAGGTTAGCCGGTAGCGTCTGAGGTCAGGTCAAGTGACTGAAGTTACGGGTTTGGTTTTTAGTAAATAACTTCGCAAAAAAATGACCACAGAACCGCGATTTTGGCATCATTGTGTTTGCCTAGCACAGGTGCGTCGAATGGTATACTTTTTGCTGGGGTGAGGTCAACTTAAGTAATTGACCTCGGGTCAAGGTCAGGTCAGAGTCCCTCAGGTCACGAAGCTGGGCAAAGGGTATCATATGGCATATCATTCGATTCGGAAGGTCTTCCCGAGTCCATTGGTGGCTTTCCCGACTTTCTAGCTCAATTTGATCGGGAGTTATTGACGAAAAACTCGTACGACCCTAGTGACGTCATAAATGACGTCACGCAAGGTTAACAATGCAAAAGTGAAGTACTGGACTTTGCAAGAAGTGCATAAAATCACGACACCATGTACGTGAGATAGTTTTAGATCATTCTCGGCGCCAAAATAACAGTTTTTTATATTTCCCCATTGATCTATAACAGTGATGTCACGTGACCGACTTGACCTCATGTGACCTTCAAAAATTTTCAGATATACACGTTGTGAGACCTTTGGATGACACCATGTATGCGTCCTGTAACTTTCATCTCGGACGGCTATGGTCATTGGCGTCCAAAACAATGTCAGAACCAAACAGCCTTTTTCACTCTCGCGCTTATAGGAAAGAGGGTTGGATGAGCCCTCTTTTCATTTTCTTCAGATGACTCAGACTTCAATTGAAATTTCAGTAACCCGTGATGTCACTAGGCAGCTTTAGGTACCACGCCATTTGTAGGCTCCCCTCCCGAAATCACTATTCGGAACCGTTATCGTGACGTAAAATAAATACATTTATAGAAAGAACACCTTCCTAATTTTTTGCATACTTCTTAACAATGAGCCAAACATTTTTTTAAAGAAATAAAAATTCAAAAAAAAATTGGTCCAAAAGTCTAAAAAATACAATTGAAAGAAAAATCGACATGTCATATATCAAAAATAGCATATTTTTCGAAATTTCAAAAATACATATTAATCTTTGTTTCATTGCACGTTCAATGTTATATAACAATTGGCATTTGAATAATCCGTCTTAAAGTTACCTATAGCCCGCCAAACTTAGCGCTGCAAAGCAAGATCCAAAAAAGTTATACACTATAACTCAAAAAATACTTATCTGATAAGCCTGAAATTGTTACAGGTGGATTCAGAGCCCCTGATTACCCCTGAGACCAATGCTCGTCAAATTCTGAGAGTGAGGGTGTCAAATTGGAAAAAAGGTACGATCTATCGTGGAATGCCCCTGCTATTGGCCTCTAAATAAGTGTTAGGGGTTGCGGTATGCGACCCCGTGCCCCCCCCCCCCCTCCCCGGCCGGCCTGGAGTCGCTCGTGCGGCCGGCGCGGCGGGCCGCCCGGCGGGCCGCCCTGGATCCGCCGGTGTGGCGGCGTGCCCGCGGGCGGTGACCTGGTGCAAAGGGGCTGGGCGCGCGGCGCGGTGTGCCGGGAATAGAGTATCTGGTGACCGGACCTGGCGTGTGGACGCGGAAGAGGCCGAACGACGATCCTAATACTGGCGCGGTCGGTCGGTACTTCTACTGAACGTGAGTTGTTATTTTGCTGTATTCTTTGGGCTGGTTTATTATTTGATTTACTTTCGCTGCAGTGTATGGTGTTATACCTGTTAGCCGGTGACTCTTCAAAACACATTCTGTATTACGGAATAGCATCAATTTTTCTTTCTGTACATCATTGCATATTTGCACCAGGAGCAAAATGGATCAATTGAGCACAATCTTGTTGTCACGCCTGGAGATTTTTACGGGTGAGGGTGGGCAAGATTTGCAGTCTTGGCTGAGCCGTTTTGAATTATTGGTGGACAGGGATGGCAAGGATGGGGAGAAGGCTAGATTCTTGCTGGGTCTACTGGGAGGCAAAGCGTTCGAATACTGCGCTGGGTTACCAGAAAAGGTCATCAAGGATTATACGCAGATAAAACAGCATCTTGTCGACAGATTCGACACAAAAGTCAACGAGTCACACGCATATTCCGAGTTCACGCGGGCTTCTCGCGAACCGGGGGAGGCGGTTCAGGATTTTGCAGAAAGGGTTCGAAAGTTGGCCCGTAAGGCTTATCCGGATCGAATCAGTGCGGAGGCGAATAGCCTGCAACAATTTGTGTGCGGCTTAAATGAACCAGGTTTACAAGCGAGGCTCCTCGGGAAGGGTCACTCATCCCTGGATGAGGCACTCAGCCACGCCCGTGACATTCAGCGTCAGCACGCTGCGTTGGAGGCTATGGGGGCGCGGGGCAGTGATGGCGCCGCTCTTCCTGTGCGCAGTCGACCCGCTACCGAGGAGCAGGGGCTGCGGTTATCTCCTCCGGGAGCAGACGAGCGTTTAGATCAGATCCAGAGGCAGGTGGATGCCATTCAGACATCTCTTTCGCAAATGGGCACTGCATCGTTTACAACAGGTGCAGGTCCCAGTCGACCTGTGAGATGCTGGAAATGCGGGGCGCCCGGACACATCCGTGTGAACTGTCCGCAACTGACCCGAGCCTCGGGGGCCGGGCGGGCCACATCAGCGGGCACATCAGCGTGCCATCTATGTGGCGTGGAGGGCCACTGGATGGCGCGGTGCCCCCTGAGTGCGGGGAGACGCACAGGGCCCGGGCGGGGACCCACCAATACAGAGTTCCGGCACGCCGAGGCTGGTAGGCCGGCGTTTTGCTATTGCTGTGGAGCCGAGGGCCATTGGATGGCCCACTGTCCCCAACATCCAGCGAGGGTGCGCGACTTCGCAGCTCCAGTGGAAGGAGTTTCCGCCAGGAATTCGGAAAACTAGACGGAGTCGGTTCCACGCGGCAGGAATCGACTAGGGGTGGTGCACTCGCACCACAAAGGGCCGCCATGATAAGAGTGAGCATCGGAGGTCAAATGGTATGGGCGCTGGTTGACTCCGGGGCAGATTTCTCACTCGTCAGAGCGAAGGTGGCGCGCAGCTTCGTGGGAGCGGGGGTCAGCGCACAAGAGTCAGGTCCCAGGGGTACTTTGGTGGGGGCCAGCGGCGAGCCGCTGCATATCCTAGCAGTAGCCGACATACCGATGCTTATCGAACAGAGACAATTTAGCGTCGCCATGGCGGTAGTGGAACACCTCATCTATGACGTGGTACTTGGCAGGGATTTTGCGTGCCGGTACGGCACGGTCCTGGACGACAGGCGAGGGATCCTGAAGCTGGGAGACATGGAGATACCTTTACCCACATACGACGACATCCGCCCATCCAGGTGCCGGGTCCGACTGGGAGCTGCGGTGTCAGTCCCGCCCCGCAGTGAAACTGTGATCGCTGCCGTTGTTGAAGCAGTAGACGGGGATGACAGGTGGCGGCCGGGGATTAGGCTGGAGGGGGTACTGGAGCCAAACGAAAAGGGTTGTTCTAATAATCTCCTAGTGTCTCGGGCCGTCGCGGACGTTGACGGAAGGGGTCAGATACCAGTCAGGATCATAAATATCTCGACCAGTGAGGCACGCCTCCTGGCGAACACTGACATCGGAACCCTGTACACTATTCGGGACGATGGCATGGGGATTTACGACGTCAGCGACGGAGAGGACGGCGGGGATTCTCCCCCACTCTGTTCGGGAGACGAGGCGGTTGACCCGGTGAACACAGTTGATTTATCTGATTCCGGGATGAGTGAAAAGGGACTGAACCAGGTGCGTGCGTTGGTTAGGGAATTCAGCGATATTTTTAGCCGCCACCCTGGCGACTTGGGACTAACTCACCTGATGCAACATGAGATCGAGACGGGGGATGCACCGCCCGTGAAGCAGAGACCGCGGCGGGTTCCGCTGCGTCTGCGAGAGCAGGTGGAGGAGCAAAGGCAGCAAATGCTGCGGGACGGCGTGATCGAGCCGAGCACGAGTCCGTGGTGCTCCCCCATTGTGCTAGCCAAAAAGAAAGACGGTTCCTATAGATTTTGTGTGGACCTGAGGGCGGTTAACAAAGTCACCAAGGGCATGGCCTACCCCCTTCCCAGAGTAGATGATGCGCTTGATTCGCTCGCCGGAGCAAAATACTTCTCTACTCTCGATATGGCCTCCGGATATTGGCAGGTGGAGCTAGCACCCAAAGACCGAGAAAAAACCGCTTTCTCCACTGGCAACCAGCTTGACCAGTTCAGACTGATGTGCTTTGGGTTGAAAAATGCGGGGGCTTCTTTCCAAAAACTCATGGAACTGGTGCTGGCAGGGGTTGACCCAAAACAGTGTCTGGTTTATATTGACGATATTATATTGTTCGGACGTTCAGAGGACGAGCACATCGCAACCCTGAGAGAGGTTTTCTCCAGAATCAGGCAGGCCCGGATGAAACTGAAACCACAAAAATGCCACCTGGGAAAGAGAGAAGTGACCTTCCTGGGGCATCGAGTGTCTGCGGAAGGTATCGCCCCCGATCCATCAAACACAGAGAAAGTGAGACAGTGGCCGGAACCCCAAACAGCCGCGGAGATGCTGAGCTTCCTCGGTTTGTGCGGGTACTATATGCGTTTTGTGCCGGGATACGCAGAGGTCTCCAAACCTCTGAGGGAGGCCGCATCAGGAAAGGGCACACTGGTGTGGTCGGAAGCCATGAGAACAGCGTTCCATGAGCTGAAGGAGAAGCTGATCTCTCCCCCGGTCCTGAAACTGCCGGCAATGTGCGGTCGATTCAGGCTGTATACTGACGCATGTAACAGTTCTGTCGGGTCGGTCCTCGTCGAGGCAGTTGGAGACCAAGAACGGGTGGTGGCCTACGCGAGTAAAGTCTTGTCAAAGGCGGAGCGACGCTGGCCGACATACGATAAGGAACTTTGGGCGGTCGTATGGTCGGTGCGACATTTCAGACAGTACTTGGTAGGAGCGGAATTCGATGTGGTGACTGACCATCGCCCTCTCTTGAATCTGCCGAATTCAATCGTCGTCGAGAACGACGCGACGGGGCGTCGGGGTCGATGGGCAGTGGAGCTGAGTTCCTACGAGTTCAGGACCCATTACAAAAAGGGAGCCGAACACAGCAACGCTGATGCTTTGTCCAGGCTGCCTGCACAGACGGGTAATGCAGAAAAAAACCTGTCTCTTGGCTCAGGCACCGACAAACCGGCCCTGATCATATCGCCGGTCAGCGAGACCCGAATCCAGGAACTGTCGGCAAACCCTGATGCAGCTCACGCGGCAGCCCAGAGTAGGCGCTCTGTAAGAGCACAGCCCCCCGAAGCAGATCCGGCAAGCAGCCACAATCATTTTCAGTCTGCTCAGGCTCAGTCTCAGTCATTGTTCCCCGAGCAGGGCCAAGATGAACATCATTGTGGAACAGGGACTTCGGTGGGGAATGAGAGCGGGGTCTGGTACCAGGAGGCGGGGTTGAAGGCGGCTCAGAAGGATGATTCACTGACGAGCAAGATTCGCAACTGGCTTCAACAGGGCAGGCCACCAGCAGGGCACGCTCGTAGACGATTAGACTGGAGGGAACGAATTATGGCACGGAATTTCGACGATTTAGCCGAAGTGGAAGGAGTAGTGGGATTGAAGAGGAAGAACGACAGAGGGTGTAGCTTTCTACCCCTGGTTCCCTCGTCGAAACAGCCTGTCATATTGGAGATGTTCCACGACCACAGCACGGCTGGGCACCTGGGGACGCACAGAACATTGGACCGAGTCACGAAGCGTTGCTACTGGCCGGGCATGTTCGGTGACGTTAAGGCCTATTGCAGGTCGTGCGAAACGTGCCAGAGGCGTCACTCACCAGCACCGGCGATGAGCGCCCCACTTCAGACAGACCAATACGGGGGGCCGTTCGAAAGGGTGGCAATGGACATCACCGAGATGAGTCTCACAAGCAGCGGGAATAGATATGCCTTAGTAGTTATGGATTATTTTTCAAAATTCGTCCGAGTGTACCCCATGCCCGACCAGAAGGCGGAGACGGTTGCAGACAAACTTCTGTGTTGGGTCTATGAGCACGGAGTGCCTGAGAGAATTCATTCCGATCAGGGACGGCAGTTTGAGTCCACTGTTTTCAAGGAACTGTGCCGTAGATTGGGAGTGGAAAAAACCCGCACAACTCCCTACCATCCTGAAGGGGACGGGATGGTCGAACGTTTCAACCGGACTTTGAAGGCAATGATTTCAAAATATATCGACCCCCAAGGTTCAAACTGGGACCGTGACGTCGGAGCTCTGATGCTGGCCTACAACTCATCCACTCATAGCACAACAGGCTATACCCCTTATTTCTTGGTCTACGGCAGAGAAGTGCGGCTTCCTGGCGATGCACTACTCTCCCCACCCACTCCCGTCATCCCAGTCCAGAGTTTCCTGGAAGACAGATCGCGCGGAATCCAGGACGCGTTCGCCAAGGTCCGCGAAAATATTCGATCTGCGAACGAAAAGATGGAAGCTCGGCACCGGGGGCCTGTTCGGGAGGTCCAGTACAGACCGGGAGACCCGGTTCTAGTGACCGACCCGACAGCCGCGGTGGGGGGAAAAACGAAATTGGGTTTACCCTACGCCGGTCCAGGGACGGTGATAGAGAAAATAGGAGGCGATGAAGGGGTGGTATATCGAGTACAGCTGCCGCGAAGGGGTGAGGTTATATTACATCACAATAGACTGAAACCATTCATAAGTAGGCGAAACCCAGGCGGCGACAGAGTCGCCATACAACCAGACGACCGAGTCAATCAGGGTCAGGGAGAACTTTACGAATGACCTAGGACCTTAAAATTGGGTATCATCGGCTTCCTCTCGCACGGGCAAAACGCTCGTTTTTTCGCAAAGCTCTAGCTCGATCAGGGGCCAAACGGCAGGGAGGGGGTCCAATAGACTCCCCCTCCCTCCCTTTACGTTCGACGCTGGCAAAACACAAATACGGGTGAGGGTTAACTCAGTAGTCGCCTTGCCCATATCGCTGAATTTGAAATGTAAAATTGGCCATTAAACAAATATCACATGACCCTATAGTACAGTTGGCGGCTGAGATCATATTCTGACCCATATTGACCCGACCTCTGTGACCTAACCCCCCCCCCACGGGTGGCAGGGTCCGGCAATAGCCGGGGCGCGGGTAAGCTCCAAACACAACGAACGCGCAGCGTGCCAATTGCCAACCCGTCAGCGGCAATGGCTGTTGGCCCGGAGCAGGTGACCGGGGCGTCTCCCCGGCCGCCGAGCGGGCCATCACGTGCCGACAGCGGCGCCCGGGCCGAGACGCAATGAATGTTTCATCGGCTCCGGGCCGGCCCGTTTTCTGCACAGACACGATCGGAGCGGCGACCGCCGGGCGACGACAGCCGCCCATCTGTCCGGTCATCTTTACGTGTCAGCAGCGCCGCGTAACAGACGCGCCGCTGACGCCACCGGCGCGCAGCGGCGCCACTTTCGCGCCGCGTCCTTCGTTTTTTGCCACGAGGTGGCGTCGCGCGTCGCGACAGGGGACATCTTTGGCCGGCGGCGATTCCAATTATCATTGGCGGTGCTCGCGATATGCAATGGGGTCGGTGGCGCTTGGCCGCTCTCTCCCTCCGGTGGGCGCGGGGAGGCGCGCACCGAGGTCACACGCCGACCGGCCAATAGGGGTGAACTGAGATGCGATCGGCGTCGGTGCCCGGTCAGGACCCCTCGACGAGGTGTGAGCGAAAGGGTGGCTCAGACGGAGGGTCAGTCGCACCCCGGGCTCCCCGCCGGCAACCCGACAGCTCAGCGCCCCAGCCGGCAAATAGACAGTCGCTGAGAGCGCAACAGTCTGTGAACGGGCCTCTAAAGTGACTTCTCCGCGTCCGGAGCAGCTCGAGCAGTTTTCTGAGCCCCATCACCCAGTGTTGTCGCGATGTCCGGTTCGGTGCGGCCCCACTTGCTGCTGATGGCTCTGCTGGTGGTGACGGTCGCTGCCGAATGGAAGTTCGACCCCTGGAGCCAGCAGTGGGTGAACGAGGAGGCCAAGCAGACGGTCCAGTCGCGCCAGGGACACTCCTACCAGCAGAACTACCAGCAAAACTACCAGCAGGACTACCGCGACTACCACGCCCAGAAGCGCAAGGAGACCAAGACGGTCGAGTGCAAGAAGCGCAACAGAGACGGCCGGTGTCTCACCAAGGCCGAGCGCGAGCTGCTGCTTCCCAACGGCTTCGCGCTGGGCTTCGAGCCCAAGGTGGCCTTCAACCTGTACGACGATGCCGACATGGGCAGTAAGTACACATCAGGGGGAGGTTCCCCATCGCACGGCGCGCTGCTCAGAGTCACAGACACCCTGAGCTCTACGCCAGGCACATGGGTTTAGGTTCTTGCTTTACGGTAGGAGGTGCTACTTTGTGACACTAATTTATGGCGACATCCAAATAGCAATTTGTTGAATAAATGAAGCTATTAGGTGGATAAATCGGATCAATCCGAGCCCAGCAATATTGAAAGTTGCAACCAAGACATAGTTATGTGCGCGTTTACCTCTGGACTAGTTAGGCTGTTGGAGCAGATGTTCCCACTCCAATTGCTTATTGTCGTAACAAATAAGAGTTTAAACTTTTAGGCATAATTGGACGGTAAGGCTATGATTGCCTTCAGCGCTTTTTATCGGTAGGTAACCGCTAATTTTACTTTTGCAATCATTCTGAAACCGACTGAAGGTAGCCTGTCACATCTGAGCTAATTTCGAATGGGAGTTACGACAGAGTTTCGAAGCATGGTTTGGATCCGGCGCATTTTGCATCGGCTAAGCTTTCGGACAACCACAGTTCTGAAAGGTTTAAATTAGGATCACATTCACAGACATAGGATAAAATGCGTTCGAAACTACCTGGATGCTGCGAAAGATTAAGGTTTCAAATCAAATCGGCCACTACGATCACATGACCAATCACATATCGCGTAGGCTGATATAACTGCACCTAACTATTCATAAAGGATGTCCTAAGCCAATATTTTGTTTTGATTGGCCCTCATCCATTGGCTTTTTCCACGAGTCATTATAAATACTCGCTAACATTGTTCGTAATAAAAGAGGCCTAAATTGGATGCTAAATCGCACAAATGTACCCATAAGTCATAATAGCCCTACAGTCTACATTATGCCACGAGGTCGTGAGACGTCATGAAAAGAATAAAGAGCACTTTCTTAAGCAAGAGACTTTCGATCGAAGTAAACCTAATGCAGCAATGGGAACAGCTTTAATGTGCTCATCTTCATCAATACGGATCGACTGAAAAGCAGCATGACCTTTCCGGTCCGGTTATGACTTTTGAACGTGCTTGATCAGGTCATAGCCATTTTTCAGCTGACCTTAAAAGTCAAATTGAAGTTCAGTCACTCGACCCGTCTCTGTGATAGGAACACGATTTATGAAAAAGCGTATGTCGAATTGCAGTATCAACGAGCAAAGCTGCCAGCTGGGTATGGGGGGGGGGGGGGCAAGGGGTGGATAATTGTGCCGAGTTGGGGTAGCGCGAGCTTTCCCAATTCCACGCCGGCTTGGCTTTGGAACCGCAACAGAGGGCGGAGGTCAAGGTCATCGCTAGGGCGGCGGCGGATTTGCTGCGCCTGTGCTACCCCAACTCGGCAGATTTGTCCATCCCTGGGGGGGGGGGGAGGGTGCATTGCGGGACAGCATGATAAAAAATAGCCGAAATGTGGCCAGATCATGACTTCCCATGCCCAATCCCATTGCCCCCCCCCCCCCCCCCCCCCGAATGTTAATGACTATAAACTGCACAGTGCACAGGCATAAACAAGGAATGGCGAGAAACTGTTGTGAAAAATAATTAATTGCGTCGAACGAAAAAGACATTTCGATAAAATAACGTCCTTGCATTTCGAAGTCATTTCCGAATTCCTGCTTGCTGAGCCGTTGACCTGCAGTTAAATCACTAGCGGCACTAGCGGCAGGGCTGATAAATGTTTCTTAAACGTGGATCTATTGTAAAACGAACACTGAATTAACCGCGGCAATTCAACCGATTCTAGAACTCTGTCTCGGTATAAACAGATGTCAGTTGTCACGACCACTGGGAGCGGCACGTCCGCGCTCCACTGCTCGTCCCCAGTGGCAGAACACGGCTCGTTACCATAATCCCTTCCGGCAGTCACGGACAGGCCAATCTGATCTGGCGACTTATCCTGTGGTAACATGGCGCGCTGCGACATAATCCTGTAACGTTGGGGCTCCTGGCGACCATGGCATCCCCGGGTGCAGATGGGACGGGTCTCTCGCTACCTGTGTTCAGAGGTGAATAAAACTCAAAAGCTGTCACCTACGCGATGTCAAGCTGTCGCCAATTTTTCACAAGTCATCTTGAAACAGTAGGTACCATTCTTTGCCGTTTTCTCATCACCTTTGAGGCCTAAAAAGTAAATTTAAAAATGAGGCTACTAGGCTAGAATGTTAGAAACAAACTGATCTTTCAAATTTCAGCCTCTGGGCATTACAACGCATCACCACATTTCAGTAGTTACACAACAAAAAAAATAAATCACTGTCATTAAACTTACCTATAGGTCTGATCAACTTTCTAGCTCGTCCTGGCTTCCTGATCCAGTTCAATCAGAACTCACGAAAGGATTGTCAGCTATCACTGATTCACTTGTCTTTGCTTCAGTAGTCAAGACCAATTATCAACGCTCCTACCAAGTTTCTGGGACCGACGGTCATGGACCTCGCCCCAGTTGTGGCCCAGATGTGACGTCCCCCGTCCCAGTCGCCCGGTCCTACCCTACTCCGTCGGCGGCCAAGGCCGCGCCGGTCCCCGCCACCGCTCAACCGGCGACGAGCGGGGACGAGCTGTCGCGCTGTCGCCGTTTTTCCTGCGTTGTCTATGGCGCTTCACAACGCACCGGCTGTCGCACCGGCGGGATTTTTCAGCCCCAGCTGTCTACAAAGAGATGACGCTGTTAAATTTTTGTGCCGTGGTCCATAGTGGTCTTCTATGGGAAGACAGCTCTGATTGTAGCGGAAACGGCCTAGTTATCTACTTTAACCCTATTCCTGGCGGGCTCCGCCGGGACAAGAAACTGGCGGGGGGGGGGGCCGATTCGGCCCCCCCCTGAGATCTCGAGAACGAAGCAAGATAGCGACAAGCGGTAAACGGCATCGGATACGCACGGCCAAGATCTACAATTTTTACAAAGGTCATTTTCAGGTCAGGTCAAAGATGACGTCACAGGGGTCGAAAAAGTCAAAATGGCGGCACTAGATATGGAGAGAGTTTTTCTCGAATAACTTTCGAATTAGTCAAGATAGGAACAAACTAAGGGCATCATCGTGATCCTCTCGTCAATCCGCATCGAATGATATATATATATGTTGACCTCGAAAGGTCAAGGTCAAAGGTTGACCTCAGGTCACGTGACCTCGAGGTCATCATGTATATCATTCGATGCGTCTTGACGAGCTGAACACAATGAGACCATCCACGCGTCTGTATCTTGTTCCTGTACGGAGTTATTGGCCAAAAATCTTTGGTGACCTTTGATGACGTCACATGACCTCACAGCTGCCCAACAGCAAAACAGACCTCAAGGTAGTGAAGGTTGATCGTATATGAAGTCATGTATGGTATATGGGGCCATTCCGACCCGTTTTAGTGGTAAAAACAGGGAGTTGATTTTTCCCCCATTGACTTATAATGGGGAGGTCGCGAAATTGACCTGACCTTAGGTCACCGATATCAAAATTCCGAGATATACAAATTGCACATACTGGTACCCTAACTAAACCCTGAAGAGAAGAAATTGATCGGTCAAAAACTCTAGCTCTGGCGTGATTGCAAACTTTTCTGAGGTAGCGTCACCAAACCGCCTCTGGTGACCTGACCTGAGGTCAGATCAACTCAAAATTTTCAGACATGTTGCGTAGAAGCCTTTTAGGAAAAGTCAGAAAATTTGAGCTTCCTAGCTCAACGCGTTTGGGAGATATAACCAAAAAACCTCAGGGGGGGGGGCTCCTGAGGCCCCCCCCCCCCGCCAGGAATAGGGTTAAATGCATCAACTGAGATGCTCGAATCTGTCTGTTTATTCCTATGGCTGTCGCCTACGCACGCAGGCGAGTAGCAGGTTTTTTTCACCTCTGCCTGTGTTTCATCTGACGTGGCCTGCTACTCCCCATCCATCCACCATGTCCCCTTCCTTTCGCGTCCCTAATGGGCGGGATGACCTATGAGAAGTCTGGGTGCCGTTAAATCACAAATCGTCATCACTCGCGTCCCTACCGCTCCATGACTTGACACGACCCTCTCCCGTCCCCTGAAGTAAAGACCAGGGTTGCGTTAGCGAAAGATTGTCGGGTAACTCCGACTCCGACTCTGGCTTCAAAAATTGGCTCCGACTCCAACTCCGCAGCCCTGGAGAAGACTGACGTACCCTTCCTGTCACTTGACACCTGATGTGCCCCCTCCCGCCTGGCGCCTCCTGATTACTGATGTAACCCCACTCCCACTGTCCGCCAGGACTGAGGGTGCAGATGAAGACTGATATCTCGTACGTTCCGCCGGCGAATCTGGTCGACGCCGCCGGCAGGTCCCTGGGCAGCAACGCTCGCGTGATGATGGACAAGAGGATACTCTACAACACGTTCAAAACCATGATGTCAAAGTGAGTGAAAACAGAGGCTCGCTAAATGATAAGCCGGGCTGGCGAAGTGAAGACCGGCGTTGGCGTGCTTTTTGGACAAAGTATGTCCCAACAATATCGATCTCAACTCTTTGAGCGTCTCAAACACAAATAAAACGCGGTCATTATCGTGGGATCTCACATGTCAGAACACCGTACCATATAGATACGCACTGTCCATGCCGATGCCGTCTAACGCCTATGTACTGATCACCCCGTGCCGACACCTGCAGGTTCGGAGCCGACGGCGACGCGTGTCTACAGAGGGCCGTCTGTGAGGTCGCTGAGGCGCCGCTCAGGAGGGACGGCATGATCGGCGAGATCCTCAACCTGGTCCTCTCGTGAGTAAACATGGCGACATAGGCAGGATGACCGAAAACGGGTGGGATGCCGAGTGCAGAAACTTCAAACTTCTACCGGCCAACCGTAAGGACGCACACGAAGTAATTACACACAGCCCCTACAGCAAAAACGGTTTACTATGTATAGCTAGTAGGGACGGTACCAAATTATTAAAGCAAGTAGGAGTGGGAGCCATTACCGTTCACCTTTTCATCTTCAGGCAGGCAGAGTCCCCTTCCCTGGACCACCAGTTTTTCAATTTCGGGATTCTGGGCTAGACGGTCACCGCGGTTATCAAAACAAGCAAATGCAATCAGGGCAAATTCTCAACTGGGTAACCGCTGGAACAGCTGGGTGTCCTCATGTCTGCTCTCGGACAGACTCAGCCCAGTTGGTGAGCCCAATCAGCCTGTTGCCTTTCATTTCTTCTCATTCCATGCTCATTGCTCCTGCAATGGCTGTAATGGATCTAAAGGACACAGCCAAACAACAGCAATAGGAAGTTCCAGAGGAAGCACCCGGTATACGTTGTAGTTCGACTCAAATATCGTATCGAGGCAACGCCACCTGGTCAGTCACGATAGCGCCCAGCCGTCACCTCCCTACAGTGCACTGACCCCTCCGCCCCGGTTCCGGCAGGCCGTCTCACCGGCTGGACGAGTCTCTCTCCGAGGACGTGGCCGAGCTGTTGGTGGCCGAGCGGCGCGGTCGGGAGGTCGGCGAGTGCCACATCGCCTACCCGCGCTGCCCCCTCTCGCTCTTCAACGTGATCGACTCGGCGTCCGACTACACGGGCAGCATCCTGGACGCCCTGGCCGACCACGACCAAATTGTCAGCTGAACGAGACTTCATCAACGGCGGGACACAGCGCGAGCTCGAGCGGCCCCACACCGCGCCGCACGGCTCCCGCAGCGGAGAGCTGGGAACGGTGAATGGAAGTCCCGGAGGGTGGTCCTCACAGAATGTGTGTTTGTTGTTATTGTTATTGGTTGTTGTTATTGTTATGGTCTGCTGGTCGAATTGCCTCGCCGGTTGGACATTATTTATGCGAGCTTGAGAAGGAGAGTTGTGTGGACCTATGATGAATGGTGGCTCATATCCACAAGGGTGATGTATTGGGCTGCGTAGACCTCGTTGGCAAGAAGTGTGCGACGGAGAAGTGATCGTCATCAGCAGAAAAGCTAAGTAAATGATGCATGGGGCATTGCAAGCATCCCTTGGGCAGTGCTTAAATCATAGGAAACGCGTTGTCCGGTTCGCGATCAAATACAATTTCATTTTGACATTTACTTCAGCTTTAACTGCATGTGTTCTCAAGAACCTCTCACGTCTGACGTCTCGATATTATTTTCAGGATAATATACACAATAAACGTCAAACCAATCGATCCACGTCGGTCAAATTCAATTATGTCCCCCTAGCTGTTTTCGCGACAGCCATGCGTGTATCTTGATCCTTGTCGTGTGTGTATGGACCATGCAAGACTGCCGAATTACAGCAATAAAACGGCTGTGTACTTGAGACGTGGGCTCATATGTTTAACAACAGAGTAGCTAAAACGCAAACGGACCAACGTAAGTAAGTCCTGCCAAAGAAGTCAAATCCAAGAAGTATGATTTCGTTATATTGATCAGCTTTTTGAATGGGATCAGGCGCCTCCTAACTATGCTTTAGGAGTGTCGAATGTAGGAACAATCAGTCAATATTGTGTAAAATACTTGAGGCATATCACTTCCTTAGCCAGATCCGATTACCCTTACTGAAGATGAAGATGGCCAATAAGCTGAACAGTTCACCACACATATAAAGAACCTAATTAAAAAAAAATAATACAAGCTAAAAGGTAGCAACCATGGAGTATCACATTGAAACACCTACCTATGCAAGAAAAGAAACGTCATTGCAATAGCTCAACCGTCATCACAGCTAAGGCATTCACCCTGCTGTGATAATTTCCCATGGCAGTTGTAAGCGGTGCGCCGAGGCAGCCGGAGCTGCTGCACCGGTCGGAGCACACCCGTCGATAAATGGGACGACGGCCGGTGACCGAGATGTGACAACAGGTAGGTAATGTCCGACCTCGGTGCATGGCAATGATACACCGACACGACGACACCCGGTTCGCGTTCCAGAACGTCCCGATGGCGAGATACGAGACGTGCCTACATGACTGTCTAGATGTGCGACTCTTTGGCGTTTCGTGCCCACTGACATACCGGTAAAAATTGAAACCGAATGAATTCGCCAAATTTCAGTGGTTCGTAACTTTGGGTAGGTACACTACTACACCTTTTTGCGTTGTTCGATGGCCAATCGTCATAACCATTTCGGCATCAGTTTGGACAAGCGTCATTCAGAATAACCCATCGGCGGTGTGCATCACTGTTTGACGGTCGGCAAAACAGGCTGGACTCCATTTAACCATTCTGCATAACTCTTTGTCATTGAGCACAATGTTCGTCATAGGCAAAACACTTTGTCAGATTGTCATAATGCTTCGACATTTCACAAAATGGTTAGTCGATGTGCAAAATTCATCGGTACTGTGCGTAAACAATGACTGTTTATTTAAAACTTTCGTCAATGATCAAAATGTCAATGATGTAGTGCTTATCTAGCCATATTCAATGTTTAACGTTAATCACGCATTCAGGGATGAGGCTTATGACAGTTCCAGCGCAATTTGCAGCCAATTAACCATTGGATTCCGAAAAAGGCAGTTATACCATAGCTACGAGGAGACTGCCGGCGCCATACCGAGTAGGCATGTAGATTCTTGAGCGTCGGACTCCTAAACGCTTCGATACAAACCACGAAGTCGGCCGTCATTATCGCATGAAACCCTTGCGATGTCATGGGACAACGCCTCGGGCGGCCGCGCCGGTCGGACTCGCGAGGGAATGGCTGACAGATGGCAAGCCGGGCCCTGCCGGCCGGACACCTTGGTTTTTTGGGCGGGGCTGACTTATCCAGCCCGTTGCCTGTTCCTTGGTGTTTGAGGCGGGGTTAATTTATCCAGCCTGTTGCTCTGTTGCCTGTCCATTTTTCAATCAGCCGATAACATGTCAGCTACGTCCATCTACATTGTACCATGTACCTATGGCGCTCATGAACGCTACCGATTTTTATGTGGATCAATGGTCTACGAGTTTCGCCACCTATGCCTCGCACTGCACTGTATAAACGCGGTCATATTTATACTTCTCTGTAAAGGGGCGATCTGTTTTTAGTTTTGACGAAATGTTATGAGGAATGCCGAAATTAGCATGGGGATGTTTTGGTGAACGACGAAGGGATATTAACGAATGACGAAGCATTTATCCAAATCGTCAAAGGTTTTGCCGGAACTCAATCAGTAATGGCGAATAGCGAAGGTAATACCAACTGACGAGCTGTGGAGTGGGATCAGCATTCCGTTTTGCCCATATGCTGAAGGTTTTGCCAGAATGCCTCTCACTGGCGCCACCTATGTGCTGATCGGACGAATGGGTTTTGCTGATTGGCCATCGAACAACGCAAAAAGGTGTACTACTAACAGATGTGCCGCAAAATCGCGCTTGCTCAACAGAGCATGCTGGTAAATTAGCATGAGTTGTGGGCAGCTCCTGTTTAAGTCAATCTCCATCGAGCGAAGAGGATAAGATCAAAATATTACGTTGATCACAACAACACTTATCGCTTTGACAATTCATAATTACCAATGTCAGCCCCATAAGCGCTTAAAAGGTCTTAGCAGCAGTTCAAGTTTTACCGAAGCTTGTTGCCAGACTTTTTAGCAGCTCCACTGCAAACCTACATATAATACAAAGCAATAAGCTTTATAGTTTATTTGAGAACCGGCACAATGCAACGATGGCAAAACCCTATGCAAACCCATAAGCGATTTGTTTGGAATCCAGCTTCAGTGTGTGAAATTCCGATGAACAAATAGTTATATGGCTTATCCGACACTGGCCAGAGGTCATTAGTAAAAAAAGGTACTACATCAGATAACCATTTATTAAGAGTGGCCGGGTTGAGATCACCACGAAACAGCGAGCGTTTGTAGCACTTTTCTGCCGGTCAGGCTGCCGTGCAGATAGGGCTGTAGTGGCCTCCGTTGGCCGGCAGGTGTCGGCAGAGAGGGCGCTGACGGCACCGGTCAGGTGTCCACCAGAAACGCTGTCTGCCGTGGCGAGACCAGATTCGGCGCGAGTGGGAAGAAGACGGCGCGGGGGAGGGGGGATGGGTACACCGGTGTCATTTCTTCCCCGATTTCTTGATGCCGCCACTCGCTGGAAAAGTAATGGAAGTTAATTTACGTGCAATTAGCAGAAGCAATTATAAAAAGGAGTTACCTACCGGTGTTTTCAGAGCATTTGAAGGTTCAACAAGAAACAGAAAACAAACAAAACAAATTACTGAATAGATCCACGCAGTGGCGAAGGCATTCAGTGCCCTTTACGAGTTGTGCCGAAAGTTTTTCATTTCAGTAGGCATTGAAAAACGAAAAACGTACAGAAGATGACAGGCGGTATGGAACCATTCACAGTGCAATGGGAGCTTTACCTGGCATCATTTTTAATGGAATTGTCAATGAGGGTACGCGACATTACAAGTGGTCTAGGTAGAAGCAGAGTATAGTATCGCCTAATCACCACTGACCTTTCTGACCAAAATAGCCCAAGCATCGTGTCTCCGGATTTCGAAACGTACAATTTGGTAAGCACAGAACGTATCTGAACGGTGACTTCATCTCAAGTGAGTACCTACGTTCCAAAGATACCAAAACAATCAATCGCAGCTCATTAATGATTTACCATGACTGACACTGTTAATGGCCCACATTGTGAGTACCAGATACAGAGCGACTGACCTCACCACCCTCACGAATGACAAGTGGAAGATGGGGAATATATGGCCGAGACTAGAAATATGAGAGTGTGAGTGCATCCACCATCCAAGAGGGTGGGTCCCCCAGGATCATGACTTCATAAGACATGCCTTCACAATTGACAGGCTCAGCGCCCCAAAATTATAGTTTTGCCTGGGTGTCAGAGGGGAAATTGCTAACCAAAAAGGGCATGAGAGTGAAAAATTGTTGGTCAAAACAGCCCAAAAAAGTGGGAAAGGATCAAAAACATTAACTTGTCTACTGTGGTAGCGGATAGAGGATGCAAAACAACCATCCACGCAACCCGCTCTTTATTGGTGGGATTGGGAGTGGAAAATTGGTCTTGAAAATTATAAGTGAGAGTCGAAAATGATTTTCAGTTGGATGTTGTTTCCCACCCAAATCGACAAATGTTGGGACACTGGACAGGCTGATTGAATTAGGTATATCCTTACATGCAGTAATCAGTATCCACTATCCATTATCAAAATAAAATCTTTCTCCAAACAAGATGTGGCTGACTCACTGGGTAAAACAATCACATACAATCCTCATTAAATAGAAGTAGCTTACCCAGTGGCCCCTTGCCAGCTGCCTTTGCCTGAAGCTCTTTCAGTTTCTTAGCCTCTTCTTGCTGCTTTTTCTTGAACTCCACATCTGACTGGAATAGTTAACAAATATAAAATTATTTTAATATAGAATGCCTAGTGTCATCACATAAAAATGTGATTGACTTATAGGAAAAAGGGGTATCATAACATACATTTCAGGCAAGATGATAATTTTATTTCCTAATTTTTGAAAGCATCAGTTTATCCTTCATGGCATACTCTGCACCCAAAAGGAAGTATAGGTATTTAATTACAAAGTATCATGATTACTTTCAGTCTTTTTAGTGCTTGTGCAAGGAGCATTTGTACTTCAAAATACTTTCTGAATGACTTCTCCTTGAAATTGTATGTTAGGTAAGATAGGTATTTCAGGTGAAGATAGACATCATTTCTGTATATGACTTTTTGTAAAATATATACCTATCTTACCTAACGCTAACATACAATTTCAAGGAGAGGTCATTCAAAAAGTATCATGATTAGTCTGCTGGAAACAAATATTAAATGAAATTTGCTAGCTATTTGAAGCACAGACCATTGCAACTTACATCATCAAGTTGTTTATCTGCCTTCTTAGGTGCCTTCAGAGGCTTCTTCTTGCCACCTGAGAGAGACATCACATGTAGGTTACTGTTCAACATTCATATCCATAAACATTATTTTTCATTCTATTATAAAAAATAAACAAAATAGGATAAGTAGGAAACTAGAGTTTAACAAAAAATGTTACTGGTCATCATAAAGCAGGTGTCTCACATGCTGCCACTCATTTGAGAAAAGTCCCTAGACACCAGTTCTCAAGATA